TACCGACATTTTGGACATAGCAATTAATTTCCACAATTATTCTGTACCCCTAATCATCTCTTACACTTATATCAAATACTTCAACAAAAATAAAAATACTCAAACCAAAAATAATTCTTCCATATTATATATTCTTAAATGAAGCGGGGTCCTGGGTAATAAGCTACTCGGTGGTTAGGTAAAGGTTCGCCAGAGGGCGGCAGCCATCTTCGTATTTCCCTGCAGATCTCGTGTTTTCTATTGTTCGTGGCGGAAACCGGACATTTTCGCAATCACGTCGGCGGTTCGCGCGTGCAACTCGATTATTCGTCCGCGTTTCGCTGAAAAATACAGAAACAGACGCTACCGCGATAACCGGCCGCAGCGGGAGATAACGGGAAGAGGAAAAAGAAGAGGCCGAGGAACACGCGGGCGGATGACTTAGTGTACTGCATACGACGCGTGCTACCGCCGATACAGTAACGTCATTCATCGTGGAATATGGGGAAGAGCTGCTTATCTGTCGGCAAGAACAATGTACTCTTCGTGTGCGTCGCGATGAAACAAAAGAATCGAGCGAAACAGGACACTGTAGAAATTTGGCGTGCCCCGACCTGCCGTTTGTTCCGAGGCACAAAGATTTCTCATTTCCGGAGGATTTCGTTTACCATAGTTACACAGTGTGCAGACGTTTCGGGGTAAATTATAGATTTCGTACATTGTATCTATAGTCCTCGCGTGACTGCAGATAGTGAAATTTGTTGTACTTTGGGAAGATTCTAAGGTGACCTTTGGAACCCGAGACAAGACGGTAGAGAAGTTTAGGGAGACTCGACTTGGTGTTTGTTTCGAGACTCCGAGATTTTCGAAATTTGATTTACTATACTTACATAGATAATATAGGACGAGTACACTGGTGCGAGTATAAACATTGTAATTTTCTCTACTTTTCTTTACTTTTAGAAGGTTCGCTGATAGGGTCTAACACGTGTTTGGGATAAAAATATATTGGGATTTTTGTGTATCTTTGACGATGAACGAATACAAAAATGATCTGCTATTCTGTAACGATCGTGTTTTAAATATGGTTATCTGAACACATTATACACCAGCTGCGCCATATTACAGGACTCCATCATTGATATATGCGAGCACGTTTTTAATGCTTATTGAAAACCTATGTGTTGTGGAATTTTTAAATCTTTTATTGTATTTTGGTTTAAATATTCATTGGTACTCGTAGTTTGAACAAACTATAATAGAAACTTAGCTAACGTACATGGTATCAAGAGACACTGTTTCATTTTGTCGCTTTCTACTTCCATCGTTATATTTCAATCAATGACAATTGACAATTTCAAACATTGACAATTTTTCAAACTAAAGATTACTAATAAATCGTGCGACAATTCTAACGTGGCTATTTTATTCTAAATTTTTTATTACAAATTCTATAGTCACCTGACTGTCCCATTCTTCCTTTAACCCTTTGAGAACAAGTCCCACAATATGCGTGGAAATTTTTATATTTTTTAGAGCGAAAGATGATTGGAATATAGCAAAAAATAATTTTATGTCTCCCATGGACGATATATATATTTTTTAATTCAGAAAATTTCTCTAGATTTATTATCTTCCTTTCTCGTTCGCAAAGGATTAATTTTCTTTTCAAATTCTGCTTTCATTTTTCATCTACAAATCTTTTGACCAATCGTGATGGGTTTTTAGTCCTGGTTTCTTAATTTCTCCGTCGAAATCGAAGATTGGACATAGCGCGAGATTATTCCTCGACTTCCCACGCATTTCGCAGACCAACGTCTACCTTCCGACACCATCACGAGATGCAACGACATCGATAACGACGCGAATTTCACACCGATCTCGCTGAGACCAATGCGAATTCCTTCGCCGATTAACAAACAAAATCGGCCACGGGAAATACTCCGGGACCGGTTGTTCATTCGCACACGGGGTAAATATTTACGCGAAAGCGGATCGGCGAATAGTACGCACGCATTGCGGCCGCGATTCATCGGGAACGGCGGGATCGATTGAATGGCCGTCGGCTGAAACGACGGATCCTTTCGTCGCGACGCGACGCGTCCACGCGTTCCACTCTCGGTCCGCTCTCAAAAATAGAGCTTCCGGCGCGTCGGATCGGTAAATATTTTCGCACGACGTCCACCGGGGACCGGCTCGTTCGATAATCGCCGTGTATTGACCACGGTAATCCGCGAAGGAACGCCACACGGCTGATCTTGGCCTCCCCCAGTGTCGAGTTACGCTTCTGGCGAACGCGAGAGACCGCTCTGATTACCGATACCGTTCGCGAACTCGTGCAAATTGGCCCATCACGCAGGGAACTCCGCAGTATCTTCCGAGTGATTGGCAAGACGCCATGGGGACCACGAGCGATTTTTTTCGACGATCAGGTACTCGAGTCGAGAGTTTCTCGGCTGCTTTAGCGAAACTGTGTTTGGGTACCCTGACTACGTCAGATTTGCGAGCTTAGAGTAGGTCCCGGTTCTCGGGGACATTTTCTTGGTGAAATTTTCAATGAAAATCAATGAAATCTTTTATCACCCCAGATTGTGGACTTTTTGATACGTCCTTCGTGATGGTAAGGAATTTTCAATAGTAGAAGTAATGAATGAGTTGCTTCTTTTGTTTCGTAATTGGTGGGAACTTCTGCTTTTGCAATTGCTTCTGGCAAAATCTTTTGGCACAATTTGGGTAACCTTTAGTCGCCTGTGTCTGTTTATCCTCATTGTATTCTTTTAATTATTATTATCTGCACATGCTATATTTAGGTATTGTATATATTACAGGTTGGTAGGTTTAGTGTTAATGTTTTTAGACGTATGCACGTGTTGTTCGTTCTTGCAACAATTTATTTAAGAAAGATTGATCAACTGCGAATAACGGAATTACGTGTTAATTGTTCGCAGAGGTATAATCGTTATTTCAGTTTGGCTTCTTGGATTTTGAATGATATAAGTTGAAGAATGGCGTGAATGACAATTTTATTACATAGATTCTTGTAGCCAATTATTCAGCAAGAGTTAATTAATTATAGCAAAACTACGTGTTGGTTGTATGCAGAAATTTGGTGGATATTTTTACTTTTTAAATTTGAGAACAACGCCAATAGAAGAATGAAGGAATTAGGGGTATCGATTATGCGAATACCTGTTTGGTCTGTGAGATATAGGAACATTCTACTGTAAGTTCAAGAGTAGCGTTTGAGAGACTGTTAAAGCTCTTTGTTTCGTGGATAAATGTTTGAGAGATTCCGTTCTACACCAATGGTTGCGTAGAACTTCAGAGGAGCGAGTTTAAACATAACCTTGTTCGCACGAAACTTAGAATACTTTGTTAAAGGAATAATTATTTAAGTATTCTATGCGTTGAGAATTTCCGACTAAATGAAGCTCGAGATTCTTTGTTAAAAACATAATCATTTATGTATATCAGTCTGTGCTGCACGTCTACGTAAATAAACACGAGCAATCAATGTTTCGATAAAACTTGAATTATAGGTTACATAAACGTGCCGTGAATATGATTATTCGAATATTGAATTTCAACAACTGGCGGTTAAATGAAATTTCATTTCAACGGAACTCTCGGCCCTTTTGTTACAGAAATAGCAGCTCAGGTGTCCCTCAGTCTACGCCTATGCGCGTGAAACTCTAACAGGCAACGCTCAACTGAAACTTTGTTTCATTTACGGCTCTCAATTCCGTGAACGAGAGAGGGTAAAAGTCGCTAGGTTTCCAAGTGTCGAGTGATTTTGCCCGTTGAAAAACGCGAGAACGATGCTCGAAACGAAACAGCCGTCGCACACCGACTACCACATATGAATTCATTTCGCACATCCGCGCCACGAAAGTAGTACGTGTCGGGTCTAAAGTTCAGCCGAACGTACAAGCTCTACCGGCCGTGAATCACGAAAAACTGTCGGGGCTCATCGTTAGGTGACGCGACGCCAATACGCTCGTGTGCGATAAAAAGATGTCCACGAATGAACGCGAAGTTGCGAAACCTATAGATCTCGAAAAGTGAAAAATACTCGCGTTGGGATGAGAGCAGCTGCCGCGACTTTAAGGTTATAGCCTGCACGCGGGATGAAATTTCGCGTCGATCGTTTTTCTCTGGCGACAAGTTCCACGAATTATTTACAGAAATCTCGTGTTCGGAAGTTGTCCGTTAAACAATAGGTCACGCTTGACGAGGAATTTTTATCGAGATTTAAATTGTGCGATTTATTGAGGATAATGTGTTTGAAAACGTTCTGTCTCTCTCTACTTCGATGCACACTGAATTTCGTAGAATATATGTTATAATTGCATTATTCGAGACAGACTAAAATATATTTGACTGAAGTATATATCGGTATATTGCGATTTTCATGAATATTTGTATCGTGATTGACCGTTATACGCCACATGTCGCTCTGCCGAAAAATAGGTGATATTTTCACGGACACACTGCGCATGCGTGGAATGCACGCGTATGTTAAACACAACGCGCATTCGGCTACGGCTGCGCGCGCGCGTATACAGTCGTATTTATGAAGCCACACGCAGAAATCACGTGTAAATGCGTTTGATTTTATAAATTCTTAAACGAAAAATTCAACGAAAAATCGATAGAACACAATCTAACGTCAACATCATTGCGAAGTACACGTATCGTTACGTTTCTAAGTATAATCGTACGGTCAAAGTACATTTAACTATAGTTGCGTCTACGTGTACCCTTCAACGTAAAAACGTAGTAGACGATGTTGTCAAAGTAAGATGATACTTTCGCGTACATTATTGCGTAAAAATATAATTTTTTCGATTTTTAATACAATACGGGGATTTTTAAACAATGATATATAGTAATGTTAGTAATTTGTTTAAAAATGAATAATTTTGCAGTCACGTATGCTCAGTTGTTATTAACACGAACCGCGGAAAACAAAACGTGTTCGTCAAGCGCGTGTCGGTTAGAAAGAAAGTAAATGCTCTTACCTTTGAACGTATTCCGGACGAGAGTCATGCTCATATTCGCGTGAGCGTGAGCCAGTGCTCCCCGAGGTACGTCTTGCGTTTTTTCGACGATTCCGCCAGGTTGAATGCTTCGGTAGCAGCAGCGCGTCTTGTGATCCCGCTCAAGAGTTCGTCCAGCGTGATCTGTGACGTTTCAAGGTACAGCGACGCATGATTGTACTCTTGTTCCCCGCTTCTCCATTGAATCGTTCGATAAATACGCTGCCGGTACAAAGTAACGATAATCCGTTGTTCTCGTGTCGGGTAGCATAGATACGAAATACGGGGTCCGACGTTCGTTCGTGCAACAGTTTAATCGGGCGACGGAGAAAAATGGCCAGCGAGATGCGTCGCGTGCGTTGAAGACGATAGCCTCAAGTGTTATTTCACATCCACCAACGTTCCAATGCGCGGCTGCTTCTTGTCATCCCTCGTTCCGTCTGTTGTTTCCTTTTAGGTTACGTGTAATAATGACAACCGGCTGCTTCGTACGTCGGGATCGAGCAAATATTACCGTTGCGTCTCGATCATCGATGATTGACCATCGACTCTGGATATCCACGCGCCGGTGAACGACTCAGACGATACGACCAGCACAAACGAGCAGTACTTGCCGCGGCCGCGATCATTAAAAGCAGCCGTGTCACTCGCGCGCACAACGAGTTCAACGAAACACGGGAATGTTGATCACGTTTCTTCTCTTCGATGCGAAATAGACGAATGAGCCCAGTGTTGGATACGAGGGAGACAGAGAAGGAGTGATAGAATGATAACAGGGACAGTAAGAGACGAGAGAAAGAGAGAGGTTATGTACAGACGACGACAGGAGAAATTCCAGCGGGCGGCAGCGCTGAGGTCCACGGATAGTTCGTCCGTTCCTTCGTTCCCCTCGTCCGATAAGTGACGATTCCACGACGATGATTCGAGAGGACCGATTGGGTGGGACGCGTTTTAGCCTCGTTGGATGTTCGACGTCCGTTTCGTCGCGTATGCCAGAGGCTGATGATTACAAGAATCTTGAGAACTTAGAGGATTTCTTCGAACGAAAAAATGGGTAATTAAATTTCGTTTATTCTTTTACGTCCCGAAGTATAAGCCGCTTTATAGCATGTACATTCATTCAATTTCGCGTCGTTCGTCTTGAAGGCGGTGTTCGATTCTCATCCGCACAAATAACCTTCTCTTTCGACGATCCTTTCGTGTCGGTCTGTTTCTTCTCGTTCGATGTTGGAAGGATCGCCTGACGTCTTGACCGAGTCGTGCATATATCGAGGAACGAATTTACGATATGGTGTGATGCACTGACGACTTGCCAACTAATCACACTATACACTCTCTGGCGAATCGGGATAAACGAAAAGAAGGTCGAAAACGAGAGGAAGACAGCGCACACCGGTTATATCCTTGGAAACGATTCGTGCAAAAAGCGATACGCTGCTCTTCTTCTGCCGCCTCCTCCTCCACCGCCTTCTCCTTTTCTACCGATTCTTTTCATTCGCGTACGCGTTTTCCCACGCACCGGGGCAAAAACACACACTTACGGAGACAGACCGGAGGGAAAGAATAGCGGGAAAAAGACGGAGAGAAGAAAGGAACGAGGGAAGTGCGATGGTGATCGGGAGCTGATGCTAGGGCATCGCAGAGAGCGGGCAAGGCAGAAATGTCGGTGTTACTACCAGCTTGGAGTAGCAAGCACCGGTAAAACACGGTCCTAACTAACACACATGGAGACAGATTGGGGACTGCTGCTTCGGAGTTTACTATAGGATGGGACGGATGGTGATGGCGGCCGTAGCAGAGCAGCCACCGCCCCCATGCTTCTTCTCTCTCTCTTCGTCTCCCTTGTCTCGTTCGACCGCCCCCACCATCGGTTCTCTCCGCTGCTTCCCTCCACTCTCTGCTTCCCCCCCGTAACCGTTCCAACCGTTCTCCTATTCTCCCCTCTATGCGTTATGACGGACACGCTGGAACCCCCCTCTTCCACATCCAACTTACCCCCTTTCTCTCCCACTCTCTTGCGCCTCTCTCTACATTTCCTCTTCTTCCTCTTACTCTCCACAGGTCTGCTAGCCTTCCCTGGGCTACGAGATGTTATCCTCGAGCGATTCGTGCGTACTATATATTCGTCTACCCGTGTCGTCGCCACATCCCCTACCTGCGTCGCATCTCGGCGTGTGCGTTGGCCGCAATCAAGGTCAGGAGCGTAACCAGCCAGCTATGGCGCCCCGCGCTATCGATTCTGCACGGTTTCGCAACCACGACACAAAGGGGGTAGCCGGAGGGAACTTAGTCGCGTCGTGTTGTTTTCACTAATATAGCGGTTTATGGATCGCGGCGGAGTTTCTTATCGTGACGCATTCGTTCACCGGAAACCTGGTATCTTTTGGCTCATTGGCTCATGGACGTGATTACCTCATTATTTATCTGCTGAAAGGAAGGATGCGTGTTGCGCCGATATTGTATTTACTTCTATATGGTTTCCTCTTCACGTGTTCTGTGCGTATTCTCCAACATACTTCCAGCTGAAATACTGTTCGAATGGGGTGTGTAAATCTACGAGAATGTTGCTATCAAGTATATTCGCGTCCAATAAATTCCCCTAGCAATTTCGTAGAGGAAAACAGCTTTCCAAGGATGATGAAAGTGGTGAAACGAGAAAATCTTTCTTACCGAGAGCAACGTTCTCTTTTTAATCCTTTAAGGTTGTTTATCGAGTAGATTTCCAATTTGACAATTGAAAAATTACACGTAATTTTGTAATGTTTATACGTATCACGAGATATTTTGCAACCACGAATCGGAATACCTCGGACTCTCCCGGAGGGGAAACGAGATAACGTTCGGTAGCGCGTGCGGTTATCTTCGTCGATTCCCTTGACTTTTCACCGCCGTGAGGTATGTAATACGTTTAAAGTAGACAAGAAGCTCTTATTCGCGATGCAACCTACGTATCGACAACGCGTCGGTATCAACGAAATTTTCCACTCGTTCATCGTCTTCCTAGAAAGGATACTAATCAACGACAAACAATTCTGCAATTACAAAAATACGCGCGTCTAACCTAATATTATCCAAGAAATGGACCACGAGTAACATCACCTTTAGGTTATGTACTAACAATGCTGCAAACATGCTGTGTCGTTTATTAAACCGATGATCGATTCGAAATAGAAATCCGTTCGACGTTCTGCGGTTTCTGTCCCCGTTTCTGGATCACCGTTTCCTTCGAATAAACGGCAGATAAATGTTGGTACCATAGGACAGAGAGGGCGCAGGAAAACAAAGTTAACCCAGTATGGCGAGACAAGGTAGCTTATCGTCGGAAACTACGATATTGACGGCTAATGTACATACGGAGACCCGCGACGAAAGCAGAGACGGCAAGCAGTGGCGGCAGTGTCCGATACTATTATTAGTGTGCAGCTGCCTGCGAATTACTGAATGAAAGGGAAGGACCGCTTCGAAACAATATCCGAAAGAGACGGGAGGCACGCTGCATCGTTTAAGCGACAGCCATCCGACGATTATTTAGAGACAGATACGCACGTATGTGTATGCCATCCGACGAAAGCGTGCGTCGTTTGTCATGAATCAATTGATTTGCAAATCAATGCGTGTTCCTTCTTAATGTTTTCGATCTAACTTGAAAATCACATGAATCGATTCGTATGAAAATTTCATACGCAACTTATTGTTCGTTGGAGGAACACTATAAATAACTACGACATATTCTTTTGAAAAGTCATCTATCGCATGTTCGAATCTGCATATCGAGTTACAAGAAGTCTGGCAATTATTTAGCGTCACGTTGGCTGCTTTGAAAGCGAGCGAAAGAACTCGACTGAATCTCCTCTGATGAGTATAAACGTTGATTCACATACGAGGAGAGAATTGTTCGTGAAATTAATTTGTGAGATGGTCATATGTCTATTTCAGTCTCGAGTCACATGGAAGAATAAACACGCGCTCGAGACGAAAACTCTTTCAATCAAACGATTCGTTTTCATTTCTTCAATCGAGATACGTTTTGCTGTATAATAATTTTAAAATTAAGAAAATTGCTCGAATTTTAATTTTCTTTTCCCTTCTTCCTATCGAAATTACTTCGATAAAAGCTTCGAATGATAATTGGAAGCTTCGGTTTAGCAGAAGATAAAGACACAGCATTTGATAGTGGAATACAACCGTAAAGGGATCATTGTACACAATATTCTTGTGCTGAAGTGCTAAACGAGAAGCGTCGGACTGCGATCGTTTAAAGTCGGACTTATATACCAGCGAAAGCATAGCCGGACCATGTCCATTCAACGAGTACTGGCAATTAGAGCCAATAGTTGCCGACCCCTTCTCCCAAAGGTCTCGTCTCGAGGTGTTGAATTTCTTGGTATCTCACCAGTTGAACCTATTCGTTCTACCAGCATCTCGACACAATGCTGTAAGTCATAAGAACTCCAATTACCCGTTCCATCCTCGACATTCCGAAATCATAAAAATTATCTCGGACATGTATCACGAAAACGTTTCTTCCCAACGTAAAAATATCTAAGTACATCAGACATAAAATACGGGAAAAAGTAACACGTCGCTGTCCATGAATCAACATTTGTTTCAACGAATCGTTTCGTTCTGTCTATTACATTCGTGTCTTGTTTGAGGGTGCAAAAGATCGTGGCTGTTCCAGTGATAAGAAACGAGTCCAAGCATGGGATCTTCCCTCGTGGATACGGTACTGCGCGATCTCCGGCGTGGCGGGTCCAGCAATGACGCGGAGATCACCGAGCGTGTCCGAATTCGGCCGACGTTAATCGAGTGGGAGTCGAGCACGGCGAGTGGTGGGGATAGCGCGTCTCCTTCGGAGGGGAATTCCCCGATGCCGGTGCGGTGTGGTGACCACACCGTGTCCCTTTTTGTTGCCGCCCATTAGGCGCCACCGCGGCGTGATTCGCAACTGTGTTTCTTTATCTTCGCCGTAGCCGGCTAGACTCTGCGAACGCGACCGACTGCACGCGTTCTTGCCTATCTTTTCACCCTGCCTTTTTTCCGTCTTTCTCTTCCTCCCTTCGGACAATAGCCGAGTGATTCACCGGGCGTAGGTACGACGTTTCCGATCTCTGTATACGCGCGCAGATAAGTCGCCGCGTGCCACGTTTCGAGTTCCGTCTCTCCCTACCGGTATGATCGTGTTTCGACTTTTGAATTGCGGAGAAAGGTATAGGAACATAAGTATATACTTGCAAGTATTTAACCGAAGAAGAAGAATCTCCCTTATTGGGAACTAGACAGTTTTACGAGGTTATTTTAGAGAGTTAATTTTGTTCCTGATTATTTCGTTGGATTTTATTTTTGGTACCCACCTCTTCATCGTTATTACGTTTCGTGATATAGGTTCGTTTTAAAATGGTCCGAGGTTTATCTGACTTATCGCGTCTCGGAAGATTGATACCTTTTAACCGAGCACTATAATAGCTCTAGGCTTTTATCTAGGGTTATATATTAATCAGCGATGATAGGGATAATAAACGTCTGACAAGGGCCAAAGTTTTTCTCCTGTTCGGTCCTTTCAAATTGGAGGTAACGTTTTTTCCCTTAGTCTTTTTACGAGTTCATTGAGCCACGGTTTCGTGTGAAAAACTAGACCAGATTTTTATCTCTCGCGGACAGAAATGGGACGAGGTAACTACGCAGCGTGGTATAACCGGATGGAAAAGCCAGTCAACGCTTTGTCCGTTTATTGTTCCAGGGACCGTCGGTCAATTGTG